CCAGTAGGTAGTAGGCGAGCCAGGATAGAGTGCGCAACGTCAGTACAGGTAAGGCCGTAAGAAGTGCAGATCAAGGGTCCTCCAACTTTAAAGCCCAAGTCTAGCGTTCTTGGGATTCCACCTCTCCCCATCATCCCGAAAGCTTGATTGAACATACAAATAGGCCCCGGTGAGGAGAGGCGATGCGCCGCAGCCAAGAAACTCCCCCCCATCGAGGCATTTCCCATTGTACGGAGAAACAACGCGTGACACTAACACCTGACCGAGAAACAGTCTCGAGGAAAGACGTCGCACAGTAAGGGTAGGCCGTGGGTGCAGACAAAGAAGACGAACATGGACTCTTGGCGGCGCAGGCTGCGCACTAGCCCGACAAAAGCTTTGTGGAAAAAGCCTCTGCCGCCTCGAGCGCGCACTGGTGCTGGGGGGCGGTTGGTTGTTCGGTTCGTTGGCTGGATTGGTGATGGATGGTCCAAGTATTTGTCAGGATCCTCACGCCAGAACAGCGCATACACCGTTTTCTTTGCGCACCGCGAGACCCTTCTCATCCTCACATCTTCATTCTCAGACGTCCCATATGGTGTGCTAGGTATTCCAATTTATCCCGAGCCGAGTCAGACCGCGCAGCTTCGGCTCTGCTGATCTATCTACGTACCGGTTAGCTGAAGACGCAGGGCTGCGAGCGATGTGTGCGTGTGTACCGGTACCATGTGTGTGAGATTGTAGGTTACCTATCTCCAGCCCTGGCATCCAATCCTCGTCGAAATGTCACCCCGTTGCCATCCCCATCCCTGCCGCCTCTCTCGTCTGTGCGCCTATCCTGCAACTCCGTTGTACGTACTCCGTACTATGTATCTCTACTATGTACTACCCTATTCGGTATCTCACATCGCCAGAGCCTCCCCCAGACGGCACCCCGGAATCCCCCAGGGCCCTTTGCCTCGCGTAGCGGCACAGACAAAGCCGGATTCCTACCTGAGTCTAGCCTAGCTGGCCCAGCAAAAGAGCCCCCATGTGGTTAAATCCCGGGTAGTATAGCCGTCCTCCCTTTCCGATGCACCTAACAATCGGCTCCTGGTAGGACTGATCATGTGGCCGCTGTTGTCCGAGAGCCTCAACTGAGAAAGCTGAAAATTTTTCAGTGTCACGTTCTGTATTTCGGTCCTCTGACGACTTCTCAGAGTCCCGGAGATAATTATTCGCCAATGAGCCAAGTTTGCTATTGTGATTTGTTGGCTTACGGATAATACACAAGCTAGCGCTAAGCATGTGGTGATCCCAAACCCGGGTCTACTCCGTACAGGTACTAACTAGGAATTTAGATCAATTTCGAGGAGCTGCAATGCTACATACATCACTTACCTACCTAACTAGGTACCTAGGTAGTCTACATAGTAGGTTAAGTAGTTACTTATTGGTACCTAACCTAGGTATAGATCGTCCTCAACGGCCGTCAGTCCAGATGTGCATGGAGAGGATATGACAGGTTTTTGGCATAGTTGTACGTTTGGTGTATATACACTCGGCTCGACCGTAGCAACCAAATTGTCCAAGCAAAACAGGTAGGTAGGCATCAAGAAGCCTTCTTTTACCGAGATCCGGACTCAGAGTAGAGGTACTTACCTGCTCGCCCGCACTACGGTACTTGTATAAGTTACTTGTAGCCCAAACCCCTGCCCCGTAAGACATGGCATGGAACAGCCCAGGGCACCTCCCCTTGTCCTCGTACTTGTGCTGCATCCACCATTGCAGCTCGGAAGCAACCTGAGGATGATATCCTGCATCACTCTTACTCGGTTGCCGGGGCCATCATAAATAGTGAAAGCCCGGCTCCCCATTACGCACTTCTCGAGCTTCGCCTGCTTTGTTTCGCTTGTTCCACGGGCATCGCACCTACCTACTCGTGACTGTCGCCGGTGGCGCAAAGGACGCGCTTTGTTTGCTAATTCCGAGTCGTAAGGATTGGGCCTTCCTGGCGCAACTTTTCACCCTCCTACCTACCTGCTCATCCATCCGAGTAAAAACCTCTCTTGGGCGATCGCGAACGCGCATACGACAGCGACCATGTCGGATAAAGAGGTCGTGGCAGCGTAAGCTCTTCCCCGGAATGCAGAAAAGACGTCTTATAGCCGTCAAATTGTATCGAGACATTTCTAACCCGATCCTCACAGCCCGGCTGGCTTGGCGTGAGTATACATAGAAGAGCTTCCTCAAGCTAGCGTCACGGGAAAAACGTCGCATCTAACTTCTCAAACCAGTTCCGAGTCCGTCGGCGATGCGGAAAAGGGCCGTCGCGGCTCCGTTGCTCATATCGACATCAACAAGAACTTGGACGCGAAGTACGTAGCAACGGGGCTCGTTGTCATTGACCTAGACTTACCACCACGGGTAGGATCAAAAACCCTCTCGCCGGCATCCCACGTGAGCAACTGCTTGCCGATGTGGAAGAGTTCGCCCGCGAGTATGGTCTCGAGAGTTATGCCCCTGTCCTGCGAAAGGGAGCTCTGGTTGCGCAGGACCCGACCTGCTTCGAAGATATTCAAGGTGCCGAGGCCCTGGACGAGGCCGAAATATACGCTCTCAAGCGCGAAATCACCCATAAGTGGAGTGTCCCAACGACGCTCTACCTCACCATTGCTACTTGCTCTATTGGAGCGGCTGTGCAGGGTTGGGACCAAGAGGGCAGCAATGGTGCCAACTTGACTTTCCCGCAGCAATTCGGCATCGGCGGCGACTCGACCCACGATGTCTTCCTAGTCGGCCTCATCAACTCAGCCCCCTACATCGGCTCAGCCTTAATTGGCTGTTGGTTCTCTGACCCCTTGAACAGTTACTTCGGCCGACGAGGTCTGTTGGATCACATGATTCTTGGTGTGACCAGGCGTTAACTCTCTGTTAGGAACTATCTTCATATCTGCCATTTTCTGCTTGCTCACCCCGATTGGCGGCGCTGTCACCCAAGATTGGCAGCAGCTCCTAGCCACAAGACTCCTCCTGGGCATTGGTATGGGCATCAAGGCTTCGACTGTGCCTATCTTCGCTGCCGAGAACAGCCCAGCATCCATCCGCGGCGCTTTAACCATGACATGGCAGATGTGGACTGCATTTGGCATCTGGCTCGGAACGAGTGCCAATCTGGCAGTTGGCCATGTCGGGAAAATCGCTTGGCGACGTGAGTAGCTCTACAGAGGCTTTGATGACATGAACATAATGCTGACGGCGGCTCGGAATCCAGTGCAAATCGGCTCAGCTTTCATCCCGGCTGTGCCTCTCTGTGCTCTAATCCTTTTCTGCCCCGAGAGCCCGCGCTGGTTCATCAAGAAGGGTCGATATGCCGAGGCTATGACATCGCTGCTGAAGCTGCGCAACAACCCGATCCAGGCAGCACGCGACCTCTATGCCATCCACGCTCAGATTCAGATCGAGGCCGAAGCCATGGGACAGGCTTCTTACTTCGCTCGCTTCTATGACTTGTTTACGGTTCCGCGTCTCCGACGAGCATCAGGTGCCGCTTTCGTGGTCATGATCGCACAGCAGCTCTGTGGTAAGTTATAGAACCCTGAGACCCCGTACAGGCTCATAACTTCGGTGCCTGACGTCTCCTCAGGTATCAACATCATTGCCTTCTATTCTTCGACTATATTCCGAGCCGCAAACGCCACGGATTTCCAGGCTCTTCTCGCTTCGTTCGGGTTTGGTGCCATCAACTTCATATTTGCGTTCCCAGCATTCTATACAATCGATACGTTCGGCCGCCGTGCTCTTCTACTCTTCACGTTCCCCAATATGGCGTGGTCGTTGCTGGCGGCCGGCCTTTTCAACCTCCTTCCCGAGACATCTACCGCCCACATCGCCGTCGTCGCCGTATTCATCTACATCTTCGCGGCATTCTACTCGCCCGGTGAAGGACCCGTTCCTTTCGCCTATAGTGCCGAGGTCTTCCCACTGTCACACCGTGAAGTCGGCATGGCGTTTGCTGTGGCTACCAACTTGTTCTGGGCTGCCGTGCTGGGAATCACTTTCCCCAAGATCCTGTCGTCACTTGGCGTCGTCGTAAGTGCCTTTTTCCAGTTCTCTACGGTTCCGTCGTCTAGCAAACTCCAATTGTGACACTACATTCATCCACGTCACAAATAAAGCTAACCCAAGCTCCCCCAACGCAGGGCGCCTTCGGCTTGTACGCCGGTTTTAACGTTTTGGCCTTTGTCCTCATTTTCCTGTGGGTGCCCGAGACGAAACAGCGCACCCTCGAAGAGCTGGACTACGTCTTTGCGGTGCCCTCGACGCTGTTCATCAAATATCAGTTCACCAAGGCCCTGCCCTGGTGGTTCAAGCGCTGGGTGCTCTTCCAGAGAAACGCCACCCTCGAGCCCCTCTATCACTTCGACAGCCCGCCCGTCCCCGTCTTGTCCGACCCGGCCCGCGGCTCCTCCGTCGAACAGAATGAGAAGACCGCAACAACGACGGGTGCCGATGTCAAGGGGGTTAGTAATAATTAGTGGGATCGCTGGGAACTGAGCTTGGGCTGTCCTACTATCAGGCGTGTCGCGATTGCATATACAGAATCCGACCGGCTAGGTCGGCTGGCGGGTAGTTATGATGCAGGCCATTTGCTTCGGGAGCAGAAGGAAGAACGAGAAATTGCGGAGAGCAGATCGGGAGGTTTCTACGCTTCTTGAAGACGGGCCCTGCGCTGCATCTACCACGTCGGCGATCTGTGATCGATGTTTGGTTTTTTTTGCTTTGAAACTTATACCCTCATACCCCCATTTGCGACGTGTTCTTAGGTAGCGGCTACGCAATCTAGTTGGCAGCGGAATTGAATCGGAGTGCTGATACCAATGTGCCATTTTTTCTCTCTCTCACTCGCGCTCGACTTCAATTTTTGAGTGCTATGAAAATGAAAGCCCGAGGGCTAGGGAAAAAGAAAACAAAAGGAAAGGAAATAAAAAATAAAAAATAAAAAATAAAAAAAGAGAGAAGGGAAAAAGTTGAAAAAGAAACTCCGAATCGGGGAATCGAACCCCGGGCTTGACGGTACTTCGTATTTGAGAGCGTCAAATGTTAGCCACTACACCAATTCGGACTTGTGATGGAAGCTCGATCACACATTAAAACCTATGTAGCGGGTGAATCTTGGCATTGGCTAGACCCACGTGCTATTGGTTAGTACCAGTAAGTAAGTAGTACACGACGAAGTTTCTCAACCATAGCAGTACTTTTTACACTCGTTTTCTAGGAATGGCCTCGTATTTAAAGTTGGAGGTGATTCCAGGCCGCCCAGTGTGGGCGGTAGGGCGCAAGACTACCTAATCTATCTACAAGTATGCTTGGTTTATCTTGCTTTGCACGGCGCCTCCGTGATAGGCATGTTGAACGAGCTTGTGAAAGGCTCTCGGCTTCAGAGTCCTTACTATTCCGTAAGTACGCCCATCTCGCTTGACGGAGCGGTTCATAGTTCATCAATTCTTGTAGTTATTTGTTCCTAGTCGAGAAAAAGGGACCATTTGTGTACCTACACAAAATATACTATTAGGTGTAGTTCAGTTTCTGCTACTTAGGACATCGGCCCAATACAGTCAAGATCTGTTCTGGCTCCAGCACTTACCTAAGTAGGTACCTGACGTGGATGCCTTCCTTGTTCTGGCGTACCTTCCTATTACTTTACTCAGGTCGCGAACCAGCCTTCTCGTTACCTAAGGGAGGTACGTACTCATGCCAACTAGCAACGTGCCTTCCTGTTGCTTTGCGCCCAGGGTAATGACCACGTGCCTCATGCTGTCACTGTATTCACTACCTCCTAGAATTAAGGACACTTCTGATATTCACCTCAAGTCCATTTTTTGCTAGCATTATATCTGCTTAGATCTTTGGGGCTGTTATTCCGAAGCATATCAGAAGTCCATCTGTCTCACCGACAGATATCATATGCACAAGGTCATCTTCGCCTCCAAAGTCCTTGACGCTAGCATACCGTTACTACAGGTACCCCAATAGGTAATATTGACAAACTGCTGTTCAGCACTCCAAAGTACCGTCGTGTAGAGTCACACATTAATGCTTGTTGATAAGATAGAGGCACTAGAAGCCTTGTAACGCGGCGAGATGTCCTTCAGAGAAAGGACCCTACACGGATTACTTAAGAATTCGCCACGATAGCTCAGTGTACCTAGGTACATCATGGACCTCCTGAGGGTGATGAGAATAGTGTTATGGTGGGATAACGTAGGGCTCATGGCGTTTCGTAAATAGTCCACGACCCGGATACTGTTGCTGGTGAGCAGCACTCGCTCCTCAGTATGCTGTGTTTTCTTGACATGTCAACGCGGTCCCCGGGCTAGCAATTTGATTTAGCACCTTATCACCCTTCAACCTCGGTGCTAAGTTCACTCTCCTCCCATTAACCATTCTTGCTCTCCGCCACCCACTTCCGAGACTCCACCTCTTCCCTTCAAGCATCTATCTCGCCCCATCCATCACTCGATTATGTAGCTATGAAAGACGATAGGGAACCCAACAGGCTCGACGGAAGTTTCAATCGCTTCGATAACTATTCGCTCGAGTTTTTTATAGACCCGCGCCTCAGATCGGACACGGCAAAAATGCTAGAAAGCGAAAACGAGCACCAGACCCAGCAGGCAACCCCAGTCTTCGCCCCGAACCCGACTCTGCCTTTAGGCGCACCTCCAACTTCGACTCTAGCTTCGCCCCTACCCGGGCTATACAATCTCGACTTCGACGAGGAGGCCGAGAACGACATCGTCCTCCCCCCGTCTGCATACACTTCGTTGGACTGTTTCTTGGCCTCTGGCGACATCCAGGACGAGGGCGAGCGCCTCTGGCTTATAGGATTGCAGGCAGGCATCGGGCTCGGCATCAACGGCGTGAGGGAATCCGTCCTGAACCAGATGCAGTACACGAACTCCGTCTTCGGGCGGCGTCTCCAGTCGGACCCCTCGGATCCGGACCCGTATCAGATGCGGATGGAAATCGGCAAGCAGTGCCAGGCGGGCTTCGACCTCAACATCGCCAATCGACTTTCCAGAAAATTCATGGGAAATTGCATGAAGATCGTCGACGTTATTGTCGAGAACGGTCTCACGGCGTGTCTACCGGAGAATGGAAATGCCATACCCGGAACGTCCATGTTTTTCAGTGATGAAGATACGGCTCGATGCCATGAGAACTTCCGAAAGATGAACAAAGCGCATGGAACTTTGGGCGTCCAGCCGCAGACTCACACTCAGATCCATGATGGCTCTGACGATTCTGACGATTCTGACGATGGACAACCGGCTCCGTTCATGACATCATTCCTGGGAGACGTTCCATTCATTGCCGGCTTCGACATGACGCGCCTTGAGGGCCCCGCCGCCCTGGTCGCCGATGCGCTAAAGCATAAATACATAATGACGCCTCAAATCCTTAGCCAGCAGTACATTGGTTTTGAATCCAGAGGCGGAGCCGGACCTGAGCCCTTCGCGCTTCATACCACCGGGAAGGCAGACTTGTCTGGTCATCCACAGAACAATCATCAAGCATTCAAGGCGAGCGCTATGTGAATCCTGTGAATGGAATGAAACTACGCTAACTGACTATATCCCTAGGCCCGGCACGAGAACGGCGACAGCGGCCAGCAGACGCCCAGCATTAAACCCGAAGCAGAACCTGGGGCCTAGCATGCCCCAAAACAGGGAAAGAGGATGGTAACCGAGGTACCGGGCGGCAGCAGAGCGAAGAAAGCGCGCTACGACGTCTGTTGTCCCTCGTCAAGCACTATAAGCAGCGACGAGGACTCAGTATACGGTTCTGATACGTCTACTCAGCGCCGCCCTACGCTGGTTCAGACGAAGAGCGGTCGCGCAGTCATCAAGACGGTCCGTCAGCACCGCATGAAGCAGTAAGAGAGCCATGGCTAAGCTCCCTGTCGGGCGCGTGATATCGGGGGACATGAGAGGACCGGCGTTGTCTCATGGGGAGACTCGTGTTGAATGGGAGATATGCGGCTCAGTGGCCTTGGATGGCGGCAGTCTTGCCATTGGGGGATTCGACTGCTTGGATCGGGGCTTCCGAATTGCCGAAGTTCTTTCTTTCTGATCCGTTTTTTTTTTTTTGCTTGATCTTTACTTGCAGATGTCCAGGTCACATGGCATCACTGTGATGAGCCTGGAAGATGATTGCTTTATTATGAGGCGCGGTCTACCTGCCAACAGTTGCAACGCTCGATTCTTCGCGAGTCCTAATGTATAAAAGAGTAGTTTCCAAGAGAGTTATATGAGAATACCGAATGAGAGAAAGTTAATCTCCTCTCTGTTCCCATTGTTTATGATATTGACATGTTCATGCGCCATGTGAGTGAGTGAGTATGAAATCCGGCCGTTGTGCTTATTCGATGGGAGTCGGCCCGGTTTGGTCTACGCTTCCGGGGTGTTCGAGTGGAAACTCTGACATTGCGGAAGCACGTTGATCATCGGGAGCACGATTGGTTTAATCTCGGGACAAGGTAGGCGTGTTATGTCCTATTCTTGACCGGCGATAGGGCCTTCTTCCAATCCCTGGCCGGTTTGTAAAACGTAACGCGCTATGAGGATGTTTCCATGCTGTGTGTACACCGAGCCTTGCTCCGCGGGTCCGCGTGTAGATTTAGTTGCCTAGTTACATGGTTATAAGGAGTTGTAAGTCACACACTCATTTTTCTGGATATGGTGGTGCTACAGTTGTGTATACCCTTACTTTAGTGGAGAGGTAGGGGTTTACTTGAAGAGATTTGGGCTGCTGCCTGGGTGTATTTACCTGCCCTCGTTTCGGCAAACCATTTGGACTGGATCCTGGACGTCCTAAGCCTCCTGTTTGTAATAGCTGGCTGTTTCAGTATCGACTTAGTGTTTCCGCACGGGGTCGAAGTTCTACCTGAACTAGCATGCTCGGTGACAAGTAGGTAGTCAATCTCAATAGCCTTAACTGCCTTGCGCTAGTCATTACCCTTCGGGGTTTTATGTCTAAAATCCCTTTATAAGTATCTGACTCCATTTTTTTGGTTTGAGTACATCTTATGTGCATTCTTAGCTGCAGTAAAACAAAATTTAAAATTACCAACTCACGGTTTAAGAGAATGCCGCTTAGTGGGGTTTTGTAATAAATCTGCGATATGTTGTCACGGAAAAAACGACGCCGTTAATACCGTGTTGGTATCAACGACTATACGCGACATATGTAGCTTCAAAACGCGGGTATCGCCTTCATCAAAGACGTTCTCGACGTTAGAAACTAGTTTTAGCCTTTAGCTAGCCAGCCATCCTGCAATAGAATCGCCAGATACTCATCATGACAACCTGTTTACGATATAGGCAATGAGTTTCACAACAGTGCCAATAACCCTTTACCACTCTAGCGGGATGGTCCGCGTCAAATGCTAGGCAGTTAAGTTCGCCGCTAGTGTGATATACATAACCTGCAATATTTCTCCCCGCCGCTCTTCCTATGTCCTGAAGTAGCCAAGGTAAAGGGGAATGGACTCTGTCCATAGAGAGCCAAGTGCCCGGCCAATAAAGAGGGTAGGAGATAGGGGTTGGTTCAAGTTCAGTTGTCCAGTCTAACGCTTAGAGGGACCTTGGTAGGAGGTCTGCTTCCGTAGGGTTTCAAGGCCCAACCCATTGCCAAGAACCCAAGGACCCATGGGCCCCCATGGGCCCCCATGGGTTGCCAAGGCTAATTGGGTTGGGTTGG